TTTTTAAACAATTGAATAATATTATTTATAACTTTTTTTTTTATCAAGAAATACTTTAAACAATCTTTAAAAAATGGTAACAACTATTTTATAAATTTTAATTCAAGTTTTTTTTTTTTCGAAATATTAAAATACCATAAAAAATAAACTTTTAATTTCAAAACTTTAAATATTATTAAAAATTTATCACTTATTATCAAAATCAGATCATATTGAATCAAATATTAAAATAAAATGATCAATAATAAAATTAAAAAATATACATGAATTTTTCCAAACTAATCGCACTCTGAGTATCTATTTTATGTCACTTCAAACTCTTCTTCTAAAAGAACTTATAACACTCTCTCGTAGCCAAGAACAAAACAATCACCTCTGTTTCCAGAATCGAGCCGTCGGCCGTCGATCGTCGGTGCCGAATCCACACCAAAATTTCTAGAAATGCCCTTCTCACCTAGTTGTCACTGTTCTGACCTCCGTTTAGCCTAAAATAATGTTGAACGGCCTAAATCCAGCCTTGAAAATTCAGGCGAAACCCACTTATTTCTCTCTTTTATTTTTTTACAATTTTTTTGTGTGTTTGCTTGCTATTGCTTCCTATTGGAGGAATGTGGCTTTTTTTTGTTTTTTTATTGGGGTTTTCTTGGTTGTCTGGCAGATTTCAATAGATGGGTGTTTGGGTTGTATAATGAATTTGTTGGTTGGTGGTGGTCACGGTGCGGGTGGGCTTTCGGTCAAGGTGACGGTGGTTACTAGTCGAGGTGTGGGACAAGGGAATTTTTGGCTGGGCTATTGAGGCTCGCGGTGGTGGGTTCTGGAAATGCTGGCCGAATGGTGGTGGAAATAGATTCTCCAGCAAAGTCCGTTCCCTTTTTTTTTTATTAGCCTCCCCTTTTAGTGTTTGAAGGTCCCATTTATTAAGCAAATTAGAAATTCAAATCCTCCATTTCTTGGGATTGCGGCAGCTTACTTGAAGGCACAGTCTTTCCATTTTAGTTTTGCTTAGATTTCTTGTGAAAAGGGGTTAGCTGCCATAGCCGAAAGAGGTAGAGACTGAGGCATAGGGGAGACGGGTTTTTGCGAGCGGAGTTTGGGCAACCTGTGTTTTTTTTTTATATATAAAAATGTTTTAAAATAATTACAATTTAACAAATTTGAGTTTAAAAATCTTTGAGCCTTACAAATAGATTTCAGGCCTAAATATTGGGCTTTTTTAAAAAAATGGTAGCAATTAAACTAAACCTGTGAGATTCAATCAAAATGATTAAATAGAGCTTAATTGTATAAATCAAAATACCAAACAAGACTTGAGATATACAGAACAAAAATTGATGTTTACAAATTAATAAGCTGAAAATTTGTCATTTTCACATTCAAACCTAACTAGATTTTATTCCCAACTAACATTTACTGAATTTGAATGAAGAGTTGTAAATGTAATTCTTCAACCCTTAATCCTCTTAATGTAGTTCTGCTACCGACATTTTCGTTTTTTAAAAAAAATAAATTAAAGAAATTGTAATTTGAAATTAGAAAAATTATAAATGATGACAGAAATTAACTTCTCTTCTCTTCTCATGTTAAAGAAAAAAAAAGAAGGTGATTTATAAAAAAAATATAGAGTATATTATTTATAATTATTATATAATAATTAATTATAATTTAAAATTGTATAAAATTCATTAAAATTTTATATAAAATTAATATTTATAAGTGATAAAAATTTTTATAATTTTTATAATAATTAAATAATTATTAAAATATAAGAAAAATATAAGAAAAATGCTCCGCAAGGGTATCGACAACTTCGAAAACTTACTTCCGTATGGCCCTTGATATTATCGTCCTGTTAGACGACCCAGCAAGCATAGGCCCAGCTAGTACGCTAGTATAGCTAGCTAGCTATAAAATCACATAGTGACGTGTGGATTAATAGGGTGAAATGTCCAAATCTTACATGAATGCCTTTTGGAGAAATTAATTTCAACTCAACATATGAAGAACACCTTTATGAAATTATTGTATTAAAGTTTATTGTTAGTGATTAATTAAGGTTAAAAATGATAAGTATTTAATCATAAGAAAGAAAAAATGTAAAAAATAAAAAGAGGGTGAAACCTAAAAATCTTGCCGACTGATGGAGAGGATGATAATAATTTCCTTCCCCTTTACAATTCAAACTATGGTGAGGAATCCTTTCTGTCTGTAATTCTTATTGACTGTCTAAACAGATAAGGAAATCAAAGAATTATAGAAAGAGATGATTGGCAGGCATGAGCATGATGGAGTAGAACAAAAACAGCCCAACCCAGGGGCCAAAGTCAAATTTTACTCGATGCGTGATTTAGCGCCACTTTGCTATTATCATTTTTGGGGTAAACTCAAATTTCCACAATGCCCTTTTTCTCCATCTATCTCTATTTTCAATCCCTCAATTGTTCACCGTAGGTAATAGACATGCGTCAGCTGTCACCAAATGGCGGTGTACTCGTACATCACTAATCATAATTTCCTTTCACGTCCAGGTGCAGCTTATCTGTCTACGTCTGCTCTACCACTACCAGATAAACAACATGACGAAAATGTTACTAAATAAATTATTCAATCCAGAGTACTGTTCAATTAATTTTTATTTTTATTTTTTAAAAGTAACATTCGTCAATTTTGAAGTTAAAATCTCATGCAATTTTTTTTCTTTATTTTAGATTAAATTACGATTTTATTTATACTAAAAATAAATTAACCTAATAGAGAAATTTTATCATCCACGTACAATCTCTAATATCTCTCTCTTGGAACACTATATATAAAACTGAATGAAATTATTTATTCAAGTGACTTTTTCGATTAAAATCTTTTAATATTTGCAGAATTTTTTTATAAAAGAAATTATAGATTGAAAATAGAAGAGGTAGTATAAATATTGAGATCAAATTTTAAATTTATTAAATATTATTTTTTAAAATAATTATATGAATTAATTAAATTAAAATTTTGATTCAAAAATTTAAATAATTTTAATTGAATTTTTATTTTTAAATATATATAATATTAATTAAATAAGTTAGTTTATTTTTTATTTACCTATATATTATAGATCAGAATATAGGATAATTATTAAATTCAGTCAAATTGCGATCGAGAGCTTAAGGCTAAGTTTTTAGGATGAGTTAGATCTTGAGTATGAGTGTTTTTTTTTTTTTTAAATTTTGTCGAATTAATTTTTTGAAATTATAACAGTAATGACTAATGAGAGCAATTAGCGGAAGAGTTTTGTATTATTGGGACAGACAGCAATGCACTTTTATCTCTAAAACACGAAAGCTTTGAGAGAATATAGAAGAATCTTTCGCAGGAAAATGTAAAAATAAGAGGACGGAAGGCAAAGCGGAATTCAAAAACCAAGCAAGCAGAAAAGACTGAGGTGCATGCAGTCAACAAAGTCGACTGCCTCTTCAAAAACAAAAACCAAAATAAACAGCAACCCACACAAAGGTTCTTTCCCATTTCTCTTGCAGTACTGTTTATTAATGTCTCTGGTAGCTGGAGAAAAAAAAAAAAAAAGAGGCATGTGAAGACATGATCGCGCTTTTTATATCTAGTTCTGAAATCAAAGCTATTGAAGTTTGAGTGAGAGAAGGCGTCGTGCTTTGTCTTTGCTTTAAGATGAAAAGAGGAAAAAGAAAATAACGATGATGATAGTGACGCTTGAGGAGAAGGGAAATTCAAAAAAGTTAGTTATCATATACACTTCTAGAATGTGTTTGCGTTCGCATACTCATTTTTTTCTAGCACTAAATTTTCACATATTTATCTATTTATTTTAAAGAGTAATCCAGTATTATAAGTGAAAGTTGAATTTTGTCAATATATTTTCTCGAAATTAGCAATAAAAATGCACCCCAAAAAAAATAGCAGTAAAAAGTAGGGTAAATATTTAGGCCTTTTTCACTGACTGTGTTGACACATATGGTCGTATAGGGATTTCAGTACTTTTCAATTTACATTTTCTCTGGACTCTCTTCTTGTATTAAATCCTTTTTCTCAGGCTTGCTGGTTATTTAGAAGAAAATAAGTGCCATCATTTTCGTTGATCTTTTTTGTTACACCTAATCAAACCATGCATTATTCGGTACTATCTTATTTTCATGAGCAGGTATAGCCTTTAATTTTTATGGCATGGCAAATGCATCCATTTGCACTTGATGACGGTGATGAACCATTAATTAATGATAACAAATGAAATATATAGTAATTTATTTTTATTTTCCTTTCATTTAATTTTTCTCTCTCTCTTTTTCAGGAAGATTAGCACCAATATTCAGAAAAAGATATAATAAATATGTACTTTTGTATTAATTATTTCTTCTTTCAGTAGATTTCACATTTTATTTTTGAAAAAAAAATAAGACGGAGGTTTTTAACTAAAATTCATGAAATTTCATATTAAAAATTATTAAATAAAAAATCAAAATATAAAACGATAAATTAAAATATTTTAAGTGTGTAAAATTTAAACAATTTTTTATATATTTTTAAATAAATATTTTTATGATTACATGTGTAAAATTTAAACAAAATTTAATTTATTTTTAAATAAATATTTTTATTAAAAATTTTGATAAAAACTTTTACCATTCAATAAAAACTTATTCAATTTAATAATTTATTTTATATATTATTGATTTTTTTCTTTAAACTCTATGAATGTAACTACTTGAATTTTTTTATTAAAACTTTTAGTAAATAATTTTTTAAAAAATTATACAAATTTTATCCAAAAAACTTAGTTTAAGTCTCGTTCACAACAAAAAAAAAAAAAATAGCAAAGAAAATTACATTAATATTGTTGTAAAAAAACACTGCAAAGTACAATCCCAAAACCAAAAGCCACTAAAAAAAAAAAAAAAAAGCCTAAAACCAAAGCCACAAATAATGATGGTGCAATCAGTTTTACAAGTCCAAACTCTGAGGCTCTAAGCTATAAATAATGTATATATTTACAAAAAATCATTGATATCCAAACTCTCTGGAATTTCAAACTTGAGCAAGCTGCTGAAGCTCTCTCTCTCGTCATCGGTACTGCTGCTGTTGATGAATGTAGATGATGAATTCAAAGGGGTTGGACTTGATATCGGCGTTGATCTCACAGAATCAAAGCTAAAATTGTGGCTGCCACCCAGTGATTGGAAGTTCGAATTTTCAGATACAAGCGGAACAGTGGGATTTGGGCTACAGTGCACATAATTGGGTTGGGAAACAAATGCATTAATTAAAGTAGAAGCTGTCAAATTTTCTTGAAAATTTGGGTAGCTGAAGTTTGTCATATTGGAAGAAAACCCTTCTCCAGCGGCTTGCATGAGTTCTGTTTGGCTTAGCACCGAAGTGCAAGGAATAGTAGATGTGGTGCAAGTTGAAGCACTTTGAATGGGATCTTGAAGCTGGCTTGGTTGTAACTGGCTGGGAACTAGATTTTGTTGAGAATCGCAAAGCTGGCTTTGCTGGAGATATTGTAGCAGTATTTCAGGGTTTTCTTGTTTCAAGGATAATAGGGTGTGAGCTAGCCTTAGCAGCTCAGGATTTAGGAGAGCTTGTGTACCTAACAAGTTTGACACATTGAGAAGAGATTGGTTGCACAAGGTTGAGCTGAGAATGGAGGAAAGATCTAGAAAATCAAGGCGTGGAGCATGTGTCACAGGATCAATTCCATTTTTCAGAAGCCTTTTCCTGATATGAGTGTTCCAGTAATTCTTGATTTCATTGTCGGTCCTGCCTGGCAAGCGAGCGGCAATAGCCGACCATCTGATATTGAGAAGAGAAAGGAAAATGTTTAAGGTCCAAGGTCATTGATAGATATGAAATTAAATGATTACCGAACAATATGATATATATTGACCAAAATTATAACACATATACTCTAGGTTTTAACGAAAAATTGAAATTCAATAGCAGAAAAACTTTAACCATACTTGTTTCCCAAAATACTATGCAGTTGAATTATAGTCTCTTCTTCTTCAAATGAAAACCTTCCTCTCTTGATATCAGGTCTAAGGTAGTTTGTCCATCTGAGACGGCAACTCTTTCCACATCTTTGGAGCCCTAAACAGTTCAAATAAAAGCAATAAAGCATCATCGTCAGAGCCTTATGAAACAGAATTAAAAATATTCAAGTTATAATAATTAGTACTGCGCAGATGAGAGAGAAATGATTTTATACCAGCATTCTTAGGGAGGGTATGCCAGTTTGCTGGGCCATGACTCTGAATATAATTAGTAAGCTTAAGATCTTCCTCGGGTGTCCAGGGACCTTTCTTGAGGCCATTTTTGTCACAGCAAGGTGTTCTCCCCATTGATTTTCCTTGTAGAAAAAAAAATGAAAACGAAGATGCAACAGATGGTGAAGTTGACGTGAAGGAGAAAAGTGTAAGTGGTGGATCCCAAAGTAACGATGACCTCCATATATATAGTTCGGAAACAGGAAGGGTTACCAAGTTTTTTTTTTTTTTTTTGGCCATGAAAGGTTTACCAAGATCAAGATTGAAGTCAAAGGAGTTTGGTGCCGGCCTTCTGATAGGTGCCTTTTTCTTCTTGTATTACATGTATGCGTGCATACCAATATTTATGTTGGTACATAAATTAATGGATGCATACATCCATTAATTTATGTTGTATAAATGCACATGAAATTAAGTATAAATTAAATATACCATGATAGTAGGTCCATAAATAAACTAGTATATGAAAATAATTATTTAGGAAAATGGTAAATATTGTATATACATAGCTCTATTCGCCATGAGTATCTTACTTGCATTCACTAAATATGGTCTAGTTCTTTTGTAAGTGTAATATAGTAAAAACTGTATTATTACATTTGAAGCCAAATAAAATGCATCAATCATATCGATGATTTTTTATAATATATTTTAATTTTAATTATGATTTTCAAAGTTTAATTTTGGATTTATGATCTCTCAAAAATGTTTCAAGTCCATAAATTCAATTATTGATCAAATTTAATAGAATATACTATGTTAGTATCACATAGATGTCTACATAGGATAAAATTTCAACTCAGCAGTTTAGGTGATTTATTATTTTTATTTTTTGCCTCGACATTCACATGGATGTTCGCGAGGTGCTCAAATAGCAAATTTTTTCATATTTTAATGACAGTTCAGGAAAATTGATGAATTTAAAATATTTTCGAATAGACTCAAAGTTTGAGATTTAAAGAGATCACAAATGAAAATGAAAAATTGCAACAAAATCATATATGTGTAACGCAATTTATTCATTTGAAGTTTGTTAAACTAATGAAGCACTTAATCCAAATAAATAAAATTTCAATTTTGACTCACAAAGGGTTAACTCAGTCAGTAAAGAGAGGAGCTCTCTTTATTTCTTATTAACCAAGATTTATCTAAAAAAATAAAATTCTAAATAAATCAAGTTGATATGAGGAAGTACTCTCTTAAAATAATTTAAAAAGAAGATTAAGACCAAACAAAACCTAATGATATCCCTGACTGAGTTATTAAAAATTTTAATTCTAAACTAGTTGAGAGCAATTATACTAGAATATTTTTATTTTTTTTTAAGTAATTAGCAAGAATTTTTTAAATGTAGATGGTGTATTGTTTGAGATGGAAATAGATGACCAGGGTGTGATATAAAAGCTATTATATATTTGATCATAATTGCCAATGTGAGTACTAAAAGACAAAGCAAGTATGATTGATGCTAAAATGTTGATCCCCATTGAAATTTTAACTTCAATCAATGCATAGATCATTTCTTGAGATCGTTTTTCTTATGATGATTTGTTTTAAGTTGATTGGTTGAATTATGAACCGAGTAATTGCATTGAGTGTAGAGAAATCTTTCTAACTAATTTACCATTGAATCTAAATTGGATAATAGTGATAAGTGACCACTACGATCTTAGTTTGACCGTATTTGTGTATCTCAAAGTGGATGACGATTGGACGGTAATGTAGTTACGTATGCTATCCACAATAGAAGAAAATTTGACACTGTTTCATTGTCCATTTTCCCCCAAATTTGAATTAGTTCCACATAAAAGTGCTCATCTACGTTAGCTTTCATCAGCAATTTGGTCTTATCACTACCCAAAACTTTCCATATTACCATAAGTAAAATCACATTAATATTCTTGACGTTTCCAATTGATTAATAAAGACAATAAAGTTCCACAATCAATTATATATAGCTATTTTTCCATTAAAATGACATAACTAAATCAAATTTTATCTTAAAATGGGATTTAATCCCCACTCCCACATTTATATACATTAATGCCATTCACCGAATTTTATATTTTATATTAAATTTGAAGATTAATTTCATTGAATTATATAATCGGATGTCATCGAACAAATTTAATGTTCAATTTTTAATATTAGTAATTTTTTTTTCATTTTCAAGTTCATTTTTTAAAATATTCAAATGAAATTTCTTTTTTTTCTTTTTTTTTTCACTTTCAACAACGAGAACCTATTTTTGGAAGCGTCAAGCCTATTTGAATTTCAGTAAACACAAGCTTATGATGGCGTGTGTCAGCGCCCAAATCTAACATGCGCTTTTCTTGAACGCAGGTCCCAACTTTCCAAGCTGGACCCTCTTTGGAACAAAGCACTATATTTTGAGCACGTAGCAGGCGAAGCCAGGTGTTCTCTCTATTTCCAACTATAAAGTCAACTCTCCCCTTCCTTTGGTTTGTTCGCAACCTTTATTTCCTCTCAAAATTCGTGGTCTTGCTTAATTTTGACAACTGTTACTCTAAAAAGGGTGAAAGGCAAATAAGCTGGTTTTTGTTCAGAAGCTTGCTTTAAGGCAAGCATTGCAACTAGGAATTAAACAATTCAAAGACATTGACAATAAGGTGCATAATTTCATCCACCCCTATCTAACACGACAGGAATTGGTCAAATGCTTTTATATTTTCTGCATTGTGCTAAGGTCAAAACCCTGTTGTTTGCTTCTTTGCCTTTGCATCTATATCTTTCTTTTATTATCCCTCCAAGTGGTTCTTGGGGTACATGAACATATAATTTACGTTTCTTCCATTCTAATCAACTTGAAATAGGAGTGACGATTGTTAATGAAGAGTAAATAACATGACCACAGTTTTACAAATGTTACCCAAGAATTTTTCGAAAGTTGTTTGTTACTACAACACAATTGTGTGACCTATTTAGACTTTTAATTTTATTGATTAAGATTCAAACACTGACAGGTTCAGCTATAAAAAAAATTTAAATTTTAATAAAATTTGTAAAACAAAATCTTAAATCTTAATTAATCTGTTGTCCCCCTGTTGCTCCTGTAGAAACATCCCATTTTCCATGTAAATAAAGACTAGAGATAAGCTTAAGAAACGTGTACTATGATGACACATGCATGTTTGGATATATGATTTTAAACCCACCAAAAACAAAATTGTGAGATTTCGGCTCATAGATTTTGATCCTCCTTTTCCATTTATGTGGCTGCGTTAATGTCTGCCCTGGACCCTGGTCGGGGAAACTTGGTGCATTAGTTCGTCACATTGATTTCTTTTTTTAAGCATTGGTTCATAATTTTTGTCGATGCTTACATACTTGATACTAGCAAAGGTAATTACTTGTCGCAAATCTAAGGTTTGCTTGAGCATGGATTTGCCTTACATATGGAGATCCACATCTCTAAAGTTGACCATAAAATATTTTATACAAATATAAGTATATATGGTAGTTGTATACACAAATTTTGTTTGTTAATTTCTTGTTGGGAGGTGTCCAAGATTTCCAACAAACTTTGAAAATGAATGTACTTTTTTGTTTAATCTTCATAGGCAGCATTTTTTGAGTTCTCACGTATATTTGTACTTATAAGGTTCGATAAAAATAGGTTAGCTAGAGTTGTTGTAAAAAGTATGTGAGAATACGAAACCTATAGTCCATTATTTAAAGCATTTCATTCACATCTTTTATGTTACTTACGCACGCAAAAACTCCAAACTCTTTCAACCATATGTTGCACATTAATATTAATTGTTTTAATAAAGATTAAGGAGATATGCCAACTAGGCTTGATTAAGTTAGTAATGATCAATTATTTGGTTTGTAAGGTTTAGATTCGATTTTTTCTGCAACCAATCTCTTTTGGTGAACTATCTATAAATTCAATATAAATTCTCATTGAAATTTGATATATCTTAATTTTAAAATAAGAAAATCTCCTCTCATTTAAATTTTTTAACAAAGAAAAAGAAAATCCTCCTTCGTCTCGATCGTGTCCGCAGTTTGGACATGACAACAAGTGGTGGGGGTTCATGGTAGAGCTGTAGAGAGAGATCGAGGATTAACCAGAATCGTCGGCTGTTGGCTTCAAATTACTATTATGGACACTTTGTTACGGCCTGTTACGGCCACCGTGATGCACGTTGATAGGAATGACCTTTGGAATTAATTTAATAGATTTGTATGGTTAAAATATGGTCAAACCATGCATCGACGATCTTCTTATGCGAATGAATGTTCTATACTTGAGATGAGCTGCATGTTTGGGAAGAGGAAACGGGGTGGTAGATTCACTAATGACTCACCTAACTCTCTATTTTAATTTCCCGGGTTTTTTTCAATTATAAAAAATATATATAATAATTTCTGGAGTTTTACATAATGACATTTGCAAATTCAATGTACATTTGTTTAGTACATCAATAAAAAATTGATCAACTTTTGTTAATTAAGTATTAGTACAAATAACAAGCATATTAATTAAATTTTTAAAAAGTTGCGGACTAAAAAAAAATATTAAATGTGTAATATCATTCGTAAGTGAATTAAAATAGATAAGAATTACATATTAAGAATAGATTAAAAATTAAAAAAAAATTTAAAAAGTTTAAAAAGGTAGGAACATGCATATATGCCATGGCCTTCGACAGTGATGACACACTTTTTTGGTAATGTGAAGCTTCATATTGTAAATCAAACAACATATGTATCCAAAAAAAAAAAAAAAATCAAACAACAATGTCTACTATTGTCACATTGCTAGAATCCAAAGTTTCTCACTTCCACGTGGCACATGCAGGTTATATTCTGCGCAATTTTATATATTAACTGCAAAATTACTCATTTTTTGTTAAATATTAAAATGAAAATGATATTGATAGTTGTGAAAGAAAGGCCTTGGACAATTAAATCAGCTCCACCCCAGGGTTGGATGCTATTCAATCATTTATTTCTACGCAAAATTAAGGATAAGAATTTCGTCCTTTGCTTTTGATCAATCAATAATATAGTGTTATTATAAGAACCTGGAGCTTAGCTTTATTTATATAATCATAAAAAATTCCTTAAAAAAATGATATCCAGTAAGTTGAGATTTGAATTTTAAAATTTATATTTTTTTTTCATTTTACGACTGCTTTTTTGTAAAATAATAATATAGTGTTAGAAATTTCAGCCCAAACAAATGTGATAGATGCATATGTAAGTTTCTTAGCTTAGCTGTAGGAGCACTTTTCAAAGCCCAATCAGTCTGGACCTATTGAACATTGAGTGGACTGAGGCTTTGAACTGCTTCCGATTAAAATTTGTGTTCATTTTCTCTATTGAGCATGACCATATTCATTAGTCATGGCTTTTTTTATTTTTTTGGAAGGAAATTATTCATGGCTTGTTAATTATTGTTCAAAAGCACTCTTAAAAGTGTAACTACGTGAAACACGTTTAATAATGCTTATTTTTTTTATGAACAATCTAATTTTCCTTCCCTTTCTTTTTTTTTTTTTTCTTTCCTTTTCTCCTAGGACTTTCCCTTCTTGATTCAAACCTCAAACAGCTAAGGTGTCACGGTTCACATTAACTTATGAAATATTATCCGTTGATTCCTCTGATCTTATGATTTTATCTCATAAAAGATGTCTCACAAATTGAAAATTGTGTAAACCCTTATATCTCAAGATCAATTCTAGTACACATTCAATGTGAGATTCATAGCTTCTTTCTAAGATCATGATATTCTCTTCCACTCTAACGAAGGTCCACCGTCTTTAGCGACACATTAATGTCATGATTCACACTAACTTGTGAAGTATTATCTGCTCCAACTCTTTTAGTTTCACAATTTTATCCCATGAAAGACGTCTTAAAGTTGAAGGTGATATGAACCCTTATATCTCAAAATCAATTTTAGTACACAGTCGATGTGAGATTCATGACTCTTCTCTAAATCATATCATAAGGCGTGTGTCAGGACATGCTTTGAATTGAAAATTCTGATTATTCTGAATTTTGACCATATGGGGAAATTATTGGGGGATGGGGATCGAGGAACTGAGTTTTTGGCGCATTATTAAATGTCCCTGAAATGCAATCCATTTTTGTAAAGGAATGTCACAAGTTCTTCTATGATGAATAATGCAGGCAGTTTCAATATATGCAATATCAAAGAGATAACTAAAATAAATTATTCAGCATAATTTTGGTTCTGCAAACATGGGATGAAGAGATAACAAGATTTCCAGCTGAATATTATTTCTGGTTTATATTTATCAGTTTTAAGTCAATTTCAAGTAACAGGAAATTGGAATGAGCCTGGAAACCAATTAAATTGCCTTCAAACCTTGTTCAAAGAAGCCGTTGAATACCTCCATTTCATCTCTGTGAAGTGCCAAACTGATCTCAATACCTCCTTCCTCGTCTCTACACTCCCCAAGGCATATAGATCCCGAAACATCAATCTGAACCACTTCGGTCTTCTTTGGTTTTCCCCACCCAAAATCTGTCTCGTAAACACGCAATCTAGGGGAGCCAGAGACCGTGACAAGATGACCAGTTTCTGATATTTCCTTCCAATTGGTAATCCACTTCTCTGCTCCTCTCAATGCTCCATTTTCCAATTCCCCAACTCTGTTTCCAATAGCTATTGTAGCCGCAAGCACCCCATTCTCTCCCAGCAGTTCACTCCTTTTCATTCGTACAAAACATATTGCTAGACAGTTACCGAAGTATGTCTCTGGTATTGCAAATTCAGGGCGATTTCGACAGTCTGCCACGAAGCAAAAGTAATGAAATTCGTCATCTTCAAGATTTTCGCTACCGCTAAGCTCTTGGGCTTTTATCAAACAAGTCCACACCAATGCACATGTTACGACGAATGTTGAAGCGCGTAGCTGCTCTGATTCACTTTTCTTCACGCATTGGTTCAAGACATAACGTTTTAGTCTGTCGATGACACCCCGATCCATTACAAATGAGGCTCGAACCTTGTGTGCAAGAATATCGTGGGCCGGTAACTTGTCCTCCTCCCAATCAGAAGCCCAAGTCCACCATTCATTCAAGAACATTGATTCAAGTCCACAAGGGTCCTTTTCCTTGATCAAATTCCTGTCAAAGAACGGCACCGACTTCTCCGGACAGGCTGCTGAATTTCCACCTGACCTTAAAATGGACGCCCAAGCTTTCATGAAATGATTGAATGACCTCCCATCTGCTGCCACATGGCAAAAGGTCGCCCCGATACATATTCCCGAGTTTGGGAACACTGTGACTTGCAAGGCCAGAAGAGGCACAACACGAGTCTTGTTAAGCACACGTGCAGGCGGCAGCTGGGGCACAAAAGGGTGGAGATCTTTGACATCACGAGCATGATAGCCTATGGTTCGATCAAAATCAGCGGAAGACTCAGCAAGGGTGAAAGGGACGCAATCGCCATCTGTATATAGGATATGGGGCTTGAGGGATGAGGAAGGGCATATGAGCTTGGCAGCGAAAGGGTAAAAGGTTTGGAGAGTATGAGAGAGAGATGTTTTGAGAGAGGGGAGAATGGTCTGTGAGAATTGGAGAGTAGAGTAAGGGAATTCGTAGAAAAACAGGCGTTGCATGGGACGGCAGAGAAGCCATGGTATATCAAAGAAAGTAAGGGGAAGGGAAGTATTGGGCACAGAGCCGGGTGGTGGAGAAACATGGCTATGGTCAAGGACTTTGATTATGCAGGTTCCGTTTGCCATTTTTTTCTTTTTATTGGAGAAGACAATTAATTATGTTTGCTTTTAAGTTTCCATGGAATAACAAAGACTAGAATAAAAGAGTTATGGCCCCAATGTGAACATTTTATAAAATGCGATTTTAGATATTTTATCTTTTTCAATCGTTGCTTTTGCGGAATAAATTAAATTATTACTAGTTTATTAATAATGAAAATTAATTTAATTAAAAAAATTACGTAGCTTTATTGATTCTTGTGAATATTTAATTTTATTCTGATTAATCACAATTTTATCCAAAACTTTTTATATTTAATTAAAAATTAATCTTAAAAAATATAATAATAAATAAAAATAAAATTAATTAATTAATTAATTAATTAAAAAAAACATATAGTTTAGTGCCACCTAGGCTTTTACCCGCACATGCTCGTGAGCCATCTTTTGGTGCCTACTCCCCTTCTAGCCTTGTTGAGGCCAAGCCCTACCATGCACCTTCTATCCTTACAGCCACTTTACTTTATACCTTTTATAATGATAGCTAAAATTATACCTTAATTTTGGGGACGAAGGTAATCAACTTTTATAAACCTAGTTGAATTCAACATAAGAAGGAAGATCAATTTTTTAAATCAAGAACACTTTGTCATAAAAATTTCAACAAACATTTTGCAAAAAAAAAAACAATCATTATTCACTTTGTAAACCACTAACAGCCTTATGGTAGGTCGAGCCACAACCCCAAACATCATTCTCTTAAACCATCAATCTTGATTACCTTAAACCCATTCAAATTGAGACCCATCCTATAGTACAAAAATAAATAAACAAATAAATAATAAAAAGCCTAAACTACTTGAAACCCATAACTTCAAAACTTAAAAAAAAAAAGAGGTAAAAAAAAAACACAAAAAATCATCCACATTTCCTTTTGGGAAATCATAAAAAAAAAAAAAAAGAGCTTTTAGCTTGGGTATTTCGGAGAGCTTTAAAGCTAGATGCTTGCATGAGGGGGTAGGTTGAGGCTCGAAGAGGAGCATGCTGAAAGTGGGTGGTGTTTCGTGCTGTGGAAAAGGATATTTTGTTTTGAAGTCATGAGGTTTAAGGTCAGATTTAAGATTATATGAGGTGTTATGGTTTAAACAGAGGCCGGATTCATGACAAGGGCATTAAGAAGAATGTACAGTGAAATTTTAGATTGCAAAGGATGCTGGCAAAAGGTAGTGCACAAGGAACTGACATTAGAATTTAGGTAGTGTAGTTGCTTGCCATTGGTTTTTTTTTTTTTTTTTTTGAGAATATGAAGGTTTCCTTTTTTAAGAAAAGTTTAAAATGAAGTAAAAAAAAACGTTGGCTTATATAGACAAAAACAAAAAAAAAATTATCAAGACCCATAAGTGGACCCGACCTAACCCAAGATCTGCGTACCTAACCTAGGTCAAGAAATTACTACCAGCCTTAGTCCGATCCAATTAGCTACCAGTCAAACCATTGAACTGCCTGTGAACCAGTAAAATCCTTTTCAGCACTTGAATTGATCTAACGAACCGTTGAATCAGACTAGCCATCATTGAACCATTGACCAAACATTGACCAACCCTTTTTGGTATTTTCTTACTTTCTAATTTTTTTTAATATTTTGGTTAAATTATTTATTTTTTTATTTATGCATACTTGAATTTTAAATCTTTAAAGAAAATAAAAAAAAAAGAAAAAGAAGAAGACAAGTGTAAAAAAAAAAGATTTGATTAAAATAAAAGTCTTTTTCGATGATACGTTTCTAAGGCATTTCGAGTAGTAATGTCTATAAAATTTTTAATTAAGAAAATTTTTAAATACTACCAATATATTGAAGTATTTATAAAGAATTTTTAATACAATAAAAAAATTTTCTTTTCTTCTAAATTTTTTTTTAAGAAATATAAAAAAAATCAATAAACATTTTCTTAAAAAAAAGGATGAATCAATTTAAGGTTCGTAGCATGATCTTCTTTTTATGAGACTTTGTAATCATATCATCCATATAAACTTCAATTTCTTTGTACATCATATCATGAAAAAGGGTCACCAAGGTCCTTTGATAAGTAGCATCAATATTTTTCAACCCTGAATGTCATAACCTTGTAGCAAAATATTCTTTACATCATCACAAAAGTGGTTTTTTTTTTTCAAATCCTCCTGAGCCATTTTGATCTTATTATAGCTAGAGAAACCATATATAAAAGAAAACATCGAATGCTTTACTGTATTATCAACAAATATGAGGTAGTAAAAAATTCTCTTTCAAGCTGGCTTTATTTAAATCTTTATAGTTTATGCACATCCTCACTTTCTCATCTTTCTTAGAAATCAAGACTATATTGGCAACCCACTTATGATATTTAGCAACAACTAAAAAGCCATTGTCAAACTACTTTTTTACTTTTTCTTTTATTTCAATAGCATATCTAGTTTCATGCACCTTAATTTTTGCTATACTAGTTTACAACCAGAGATTAATGGTAGCTTATGTTCTATAATATCTGTATTAAGTCCTGACATGTCTTGATATGATCATTCAAACACATCTACATATTTTTAAAATAATTCTTCAAATTTTTGCCATTCTCCATGTTTAAGAAAAGTACCCACTTTTACTTCTTTCTTATTCTCATTATTTCCTAGATTAACCATGCCAATGGACTCTTGATAGGGTTTTATTAATGTTTTCTCTTGTTCTAAAAGTCTTATCAAATCAATGGGAAAAGTGTAGTTTTCTGAGTCCCCATCATCAGGCTTGTTAACCTAAATGAAATTTTCGAAATTTGAATATGGAATAGTCATCATAGTCATCCATGATATTCAATACTTAAATCCTAAAAATTATTAAGATCATAGATATATAAGTGGATATTTTAGCAAGAATAAAAGATATACGATGGATATATTGGCAGAAATAAAAAATATGATAAGGAAAATCAAAGAGAATGGAAAAGGACAAAGTATGTCATGAAAAATGCATTGCATTTGACATTTTATTAATGATAATGAAAGATGAGCCCATACAAACTCTCCGCATATCCTTGGACAATGGCATTTGGGTTTTTATTATTATTTTGATTAAGGTTCAAGGATAATAGAAATAAACAAACCACACCCTTACATTCCATAATTTAAAGGAAACAAAAATATCTCATCTTTTATATTCATTGTTTCTTCTTCCTTCATTACTTCCAACTTCATTCTTGATAAGGCCACCTCTAACTCCTTCGTCAGTGTTTTCACCTCTGACATCTCCGAATAAATATATTTTTCTAAGTGAAAAGTGTCATCGGGTAAAGAAGCACCTCTTTTTCCTATTTGATTCTTACCCCTTGAGATAAGCCATTTTCCTTTCTTTCTTTTTCATTATGATTTTTCTTTTGTCCATAACAATTATTGATAACCTAAACCAAATCTTTCTTTTCTAAGATTTTCTATGCCTTTTTAATTTATTAAATGCCACTCCAACACCAAATTTGGGTTGCCATCCTTTCCTAATCATATGCTCGATCACCATCCCTATGGTTTTTGACAAGTGAAGAATAGGTATAATTAAGCCTTCACCCACATATGTCGTATTAATAACTTCAAAAGCTTGAAATAAGCATTCGAGCTCTTTTTTTACTACTTCCATATATAAAGTAGTCAAAGTTTTAGTCACCAGCAAGTCCCCATCTCCAACCAAGTATATCTGCTTTTTATCAACTATAAATTTCTATTTTTTGGTATAATGATGATAGCATGACATCCGTAGAATGAATCCAAGGCCTTTTGAGCAAACAACTATAAGATGATGAAATATTCATAACTTGAGACTTAACATAGAATGTGCAATGACCCATTTGTAGTGGAATTTCTATATCCTCAATGATTTCTTTTCTTAAACCATTAAAAGCTCTGACCACCATGTGGCATTTGCACTTCACTGTTATGTATAGGGCCTTTATACTACCTTGCTCTTCTAATGGAATTTCATCATAATTGAAAGGGATGAAATTCATATCTATTATATTTCCAACAATGTTGTTTACTTTCTCTACTAATATATCATGATCCACATGGGCCTAGTTTAGCACTTTTAGCATTGCATTTCTATGAGGCTCAAAGTGTAATAATAGAGATAACAATGAGATACATGTTAACATTTTATTGAGCTAATCGACTATACTATACTTACTATGTCTAATAATCTTTAAAAACTCATGTTTTTTCTCTGTCACATGTTTCTTGGATTGTGTTCTTGGATTTACTACACTTGAAACTTTCTCTTCTTTATTTCTTTTGTTTTTTATTTCTTTTGCTTTATCTTTCTTTGTTGGTTTTAAGGTATCTAGGGTATAGCACTGACCACTTCGAGTCATTCCTCAAATCTTTAATATATTTGTTGTATCTCCAAGTTTGTGTTTTTCGGGTCAATGCTATATTAGGCCCCAAATCATTACATCACAATCATATTTCCAAGGGACTACTTTGTCATTCTTACATGAAAATGAGCTAGGCACATATATTATCACTGTAGCCTTAGGAAAAGAGATCGATTCTTTTGTTGTTGGTTTTAGCTTCTCATCATAAAAGATTGTTACAAGCCTAAGAATAAAAGATCATTATAAAGATTGACTTGCTATCATGCTTATAGCATTCTCTTTATATTCATCATAAAATTTTATTACCCTTGAATTCATCAATTCCTATAACACTTGCCTAAAATCTTCACATTTCTGGGAATGCCCCACCATTGTTCCATGGTATTTACAAATCAAATCAAAGTATTAATGGCTAACATCAATTTTTGTGACTATGGGTTGAATCATACTAGTCTTGATTTAAATAGTCATATACCTGTTTCATAAAAGTTTTCACCTCTTTTACCCACCTTTTAAGCTTAACATTCTTAGCCCCCTTTTATTGCATTAGTTGCCCTTTTAGTGTAATTAGGTAATGGATTCCCATCAACATTAGGCTTTGTCTTGGTATCAAAGTTCAGTAACCCAGCCTTTACCAAACTTTGCACTTTATATTCTAAGGCTATACAATCCTTCAGAGAATGACCCACATTACCAAAGTGATAATCACATCGGGTATTAGGGTTTTAACTTGGGATATGGGATA